TGGCAGCAGGAACGATTTCCACTTTCTCTGTTTCTGATGCAGGTTTGGCACTCTTCTGTGTGTCGTCTTTGTGATCACACGATTCCATCTTTAAACATTCTGCTTCTGCTTGCAGTAGCACAGGTTTGTCTTCAGCGTGACGGAGATCCTCATCCTCCTCACTGGGTAGCTGCCCTCCTCTGCCGGTCTCTCCTCCTTCCTGAAGACACCCATACGCAGAGCCCCATGCTTCACTTTCTGCTTTTCTCCAGGTGTGACTGCCAGGCACGGCAGGAGACAGGATCTCCTCCTCTCCCATTTTAGGAAGGGATTTTGTTTCATATTCTGGTACCTCATCCAAGAACGTGCTCTCTCTCTCTTTATCGTATCTCTGCCGCTTGCCCTGAACAGGGATCTCCTCCACCTCTTCGGGAAACCACACTTTCTTCTCATAACTTAAATCTTTCATGTAAAAGTCTTCCATTTCTGGAGATTTTTCTTCTTGAGCTTCCTTGGACCTGCAAGATTTTACACCTTCAGCAGAAATGTGTGAAGATGTTTTATCCTCAGTTGGGCTAGATTCTGTAAAGTGTAAGCCCTTCGCATCTGGAGATGCTTCCTGAGAGTCCAAGCCTGCAGCTCCTCCCCTAAACGGTCCCTTTTCTCCTGCAGAAAATAAACTGCTGTCATCTGGAGACATGTCTTCAGTCGAAGTATCTCTGGGTGACGTGTCTTTAACTGAGCTACTTTCTGGGCAAGGAAAAGATTTTGACACTTCTTTCGTGAGTTCTTTGGCAGAAATTTTCAGTGATGTTTCATACGTAGCTGGGCTCTGCTCTGTGAAATCCATGGATTTCACAGCTTCTGAAGGGAATTTGTCAGTAAAGTCAGACGTAGTTTTTTCTTTTGCAGGTATCTCTTCTGTGAAACTAAGAGATTTGATATCTTCTGGAGAAATTCCTTTAACAAAAAGGTCTGAAGAGATTTCTTTGCTGGGACTCTCAGTGAGAGAAATGGATTTGGTCTCTTCTGGTGAAATGTCTTTAATGGAAACATGAGAAGATTTTTCTTCTTCTGAAGTGTCTCCTGTGAAATACAGCAGTTTGCCTTCTTCAGTAGTCACTCCCTTAACAGAAATATCTGAGGATTTTTCTTTACCAATACTTTCTTCTGTAAAAGAAAGTGACTTGGTGTCATCTGGTGAGAACTGTGGAGATTGGTCACTTTCAGATTTGCTTTGGCTTGTGAACTGTGGAGGACCCACATCTCCTAGAGATGCTTCTGTGGTAGAGAATGGCTCAAAGGACAAGTGTTTTGAAAATCCCATTAAACTTTCTGTCATGGTTTTAGTTCCTTGCTCTTTTTCTGGCTCCAGAAACACATCTGTGCTGGGAGGGGGCAGCATGGGACGCTCCTCCTCCTCCCCTATCACCACCGTGTCCTGCTTGTGGTAGGAGAGCCAGGGCAGCTCCTCCTTCCCCACGGGCTCTTCCCGCACCTCCTCCCCAGGAGACACTGGAACTGGAACGTCACTGCCCAAGTCCAGCTTGTGCTGTACAGGCCCAGGCACTTCTTTTTCATGTCTGTATTTAGCCGCAGATAGCTCATCCTCTCTGAGAGGTTCACCCTTGGCTCCCTTCACCACAACACAAGTTTGGCCTTCCACCTTCTTGGCAGCAGCATCTGTTTGTTTTTCAAATAGATCTGAATCTACTGTTTCTAGTTTTTCCTCCACTGGAGACTGGTGGAAAGGTGTGTGTCCTGCACTAGTGGGGCCAGATGGGGTGGGAGAGGCCATTTTGACTGTACTATCGTCAGGACTCATGCATCGTTCTTCACCCTCTGCAGAGTCAACCTGGGAAAACGGTGTTTCTTCAGTGGATAACGGCAGACCAGAAGTTTGCATCACTTCTGTGGGAACACTGATTAACACGTTATCAGGACAGCCTTGATGAGCAAATATGGGGGCATTGTAATGCCCCCTGAGTTTCTCAGGCATTTCAATATTGGGAGTCCCATCTTCTTCTTCCTCTTCATCTTCTGCCTCTTCATGAAGATCCTTTTTTTGAGCTTCCAGTTTTCTCTCTCCTTCTGCTAACGCATGGAAATCTTCAGGGGGTGGAGATTTAAAACATTTGTCTTCCTCCAAGGATGATGTGGGAGAGATTGTGCCAGCGGAGGGAACATAGTCGAGACCTTGGGTTGCTTCAGTCCGAGAGGAGGGCATGCTGTTTACTGTGTCTAGAAGTAAAGAGCTTTTCCCAGTCTCTTCTGTTTGTGGTGCTGTTAGAGATGCAACAGATTGGTCTTCTGCTACTGAAGTTGCAAAAGATGAAAGCTTATCACATTCTGTAATGGAGGTAGCAGAGGATATATGTTCCTCCTCAGCCAGAGGTGCTGCCACAATGTTTGTAGGATATGCCAGGATTTCAGACTCCTGGCCAGCATAGCCCTTGGCGGAAAGGTCAGCAGTAGGCACGGCCTGTATTCCATGTATTGCTTCAAAAGAGCCTGGGTGGTCAGGAACAGAAATGTCATAGGCATTGACATCATACTTCAAGTGTGGGATCCTCTCTTCCTGTTCATCATGTATTTCTTCATCAGAAATGGTCTGCTCCGTTTCCGAGTAGCCTGGGATAGTTTCATCTTGGATATATGAAACATGTTCTGCTGTTGCTCCTGGTGGGACTGGCAGACTGCTCAGATATGACTCTTCCTTTGTTACGTCCTTTCCAAGTAATTTGTTTTTCTCACCTATGTCACTAAATTCTTTTTCCTTTTCTGTAGCGGTAAATATTTTGTCCTCTCTGTCATCCCGATTCAGCTCATAGAAGTCTCTATTCTTTTCCACCTTCTCCTCTGCCTTCATGCGCTGTTCTTCCTTTTCTTCCAGTTCTGCCTTTTCTATCACATCTTCCCTCTTTTCCTTCTCACCCTCTCCCTGTGCCTCTGTCCCCTCAGTATACTTTTCACATGTCTTTGTTTCTGCTTCCCTCTGTTTTCTGTCCAAAGAGATCTTCTCCTCTTCCTCCTTTTCTTCCTCTCTGAATGCTGATGACTGAACACCCTTTGCTAAGAGGTCTGTCTGTGATGGTGCCTGTTCTTTGTCTGGAAACAGCTGAACTTCCTCGTCCTGCTCAGCTTTTCCCTCGCAGTATCTCATGTCACGATTTTCATCTATTGTTCTTCTTTCATCCTCTATTTTTTCAGCATGAGCTGCTCTCAGTTCTAGCTGATGGGCTGCCTTTTCCTCTGCTGGTGATTCTTTGTCCGTATCCGTAGTAGCTATTCCCTGACCAGGAATGTTTGTTTTCAAAATCAGATCCACTTCAAGGCAAGTCTGAGCAATCATGGCAGCAGAGTCGTCTACCTCTGTTTCAGGTACTCTCATAATCTTATCACCAACCTCAGTATCAGACATTTCTTGAGTCACCTGCAAGGTGACTTTCTCCTCGTGCTTCAGTTCCTCAAAGTCCTTTGTAAGATCTTCTGGTGAAGACAGGACTAACCTCTGCTCAGCTAGGGAAGTCTCTCCTGGCTCCACCTGTACAGGTGCCTTCTCCATTGGTGATGTCTTCAGGTCAGCAGGCACTTCCTTTTCAGGTTTGACTTTGATCTTCTCAGTTTTGAGTCTGCCTGGAACTTTTGCCTTGTATAATGTTTTTCTTACTTCTGGGGTAAATGGTTTTAAGTCTGGTTTAGAAATTTTTTTGGGCTCTGGTTTGGTTTCTTTCTTTTTATCCTCTTTCTTTGAATCTTTTTTTTCCTCTTTCTTTCCATCATCTTTTTTTAAGTCCTTTTTCTCCTTCTTAATCTCTTTCTTTTCTTTGTCTTTCTTCTCCTCCAGTTTGGATACTTTCTCTTTGAGATGCTTTTTTCCAACCTTGTCTTTTGCCAATTTTCTTTTCTCAGCTTTGAGAGCATCACTTGTTTCTGTCTTTATCTTTTCATGTTTAACCGGTTTCTCAGGAGTTTTCTCCGAGGGTTCTTTAACCTTTTTCTCAATTTTAGCATCCTTTATGACTTCTGGTTTTACCTCCTTAATCCCCTCCTCAACTGCCTCTTCTTTCTTAGCTTGCTTTGTCACCGATGGCCTGGGGGAAGATTTAAGACTCTCTTTACTGTCGGTTCTCTGTTTAATTTTGGTCTGCTTCAGCACAGGTGGAGGTATTCCAGAAGTGATATCTTTCTGAGTAGCCACTGGGTACCTCAGAAAATCCAGGTGCTTGAGTTTCTCAAGACCTTCCAGGATCTTATTTTGAGGAGCATTTCCAGGAAACAAAACCCTTACAATTTTCTCTGTTGGGCTAGCTGGAAGCCACACCACTAGGGCTGTGATGGATGTGAGATAGGGAACAGAAATTTCACCTTCTTTCCCACTTGCAAGAATTATGCCAGTCTTTGCTTTACTATTACCAGCCCATTTCTGCATTAGAAACTGCATTTCTTTACTGTCCTTGACAGGATTCAGTATATACATGTCCAGCTTACCCACTCCCATTTTGTGGAAAAGCGTGATAGGTTCAATGGTACTGCTCACCACCCTGTAGAGGGGCTCTGATTTAATGCCCAGTCTGTTGAGATACTGCAGTGTCAGACAAGCTTCTTCGATGCTCCTCTTTACTTTCATGGACGATTCAGGCATCTTCAGTTTTTCAGGAACGTTAAAAAAAACCACCCCTAGCTCAGGAGAAATGAGGTTCTTCATCCAGTCACTGTAGTTGGTAGAGCCCTGGGATTGTTCCTCCTCTTGCTCAGCAACCTTCCTCTGCAGCAGCCCATTGATGCCAGGTAGGTTGTCTGCACCAATGTGGGTCAGCAGGATTGAGTCAATCCTATCCAGGTGCCTTACCAGCTTCCAGAAGCAAGATTTCCTGTCAGAGCCACCATCCACAAGGATGTTAAACCCATTGACAGCAAAGAGAGCAGAATCACCTCTTCCCCCAGGGAATATGTAGCAGCAGGGTTTAGAAAGCTTCAAAAAGCCCCCTGAGGTGGGTGGCTCCAGGAGATCAAATGGAGACGGCACGTCAACTGTCTCAGAGACATATTCTGCAAACTCAGACACCCCATCCATTTCTGGCAGAACTGGATCAGGATTCAGTTTCAGATTAATAATTTCCTGAAATCGAGGATGCCCAAGGTTGCTCCAGTCTCCTTCTCCCGGGCACGACACAGTAAGGGAGGCCTTGATGTCTGAATCAGTGTTGCTAAGAATCTGGGTGACCTGATGAGACAAGCACAGACAAATAAAGGTCAAACAGAGCTCTGAGACCAGTTCAGCACTTAAAAAAAAAATAGCCAGTTAATGCAGAAATACTGAAGACGCCATGAGCGCTTTACCGGCAGGGAACACTGGGATAGATTAAATAGTCCAAAGGCCCGTTGCAAATAGATGCGTGGGGCCACGTTCTGCTCTGTTTTGAAATTCTTGATGTTGATGGGCTGTTATGCTTCCTGGCTGCTGGGAGAGCACAGTGACAAGACCTCAGGAAAGAAAATGAAAGCAGGAGCCACCTTGTCCTCTTTCCTTACTTCTTCCTATTTAACCTGGGATATCAGTCCCTGGCTTGGGCTCAAAAGTAGCAGTTTCTTTTTGATTTGTGAATTCTAACCCTGAGATACCCTTTTCAATGCTAAGCATCATTGTCTGAATTTATCCTTGCTCACTGGCTATGAACGACCATATAGCACTTTGTGCAGTTTTAGTGCCATGGGACTTTCTTTTTTATTCAGATTCAGTTTCTTTCCTGGGACCTATTTTGAAAGTCGTGGCTCCGTCTCTGATATACATACGGGGTTGGGGACATGCTACATGATTAATAAGTAGAACTAAGGTTGATATAATTTCCAAGGCTCCTTAGAGCTATGCTGAACATATCCCGAGCAATTAAACCTCAGACTTCCTAAGTATCTGGAATAAGATTAGTGCACTTCTTTACACTGTGTTCTCCTGCTTAGACAGCCCTTAATTGACTAGTTAGTGTCCAAATAAATGGGTACCAGGAAAAAATGAGAACAATCAGCCTAAAATAAATGACGGTGGGTAGACTTGCTGATGTAATTATAGAACAATGATATCAATTGTCAAAATATCACCCAGCCATTCCTGCAGCAACTGTACCTTCAGTCAAACGGAGACGTTCTAAAGATCTGGCACACAATGATCAGTGCAAGTAGGGCTTACCAAAAACTGAAGCAGCCTATCTGTATTGGCAATGAGCACCAATAGAAAGAGAGTTTAAAGCCTCTGCGGAAAGCTATAGTACACCTAGCTAAGATAATTAGCATTAGAGCAGAGGTTCAGAGATGTCCTACAAGGTTTTCAAGACCCCACTGGACAAAGCGCTGAGCAATCTTGTCTAAATTCAGTGCTGACCCTGCTCTATGCAGGAGGCTGGGCTGCAGACCTCTCAAGTGCCCTTCCAACCTGAATGATTCTGCAATTCTGCAATTAAATAATGATATTTGTAGTTATTTAATCATTATGTAGTTACTTAATCAGCATTTAGTCATCCCCTCATCATCTTTACACACCCCTAATGAACACTCTGAACCTTGTGAACAGCTTACGCTTACTGGACTGACTGTGCAATGAAGAGAAATACCCGCATTTACTAGGGTGATGATGGCCTCTCTTGGCTGTTTTCTGGAAGCTGCCCACAGATATTTTAAGACCTGTTTTAAGAAATTGTGAGTGTCTGCCCACTGCAGAGCCAGTCTGGAAGGTTATTTCAAGCTGAGCACTTAAATGTGGAACCACCCATGCCTGCCACCTTGGAAAACTTAAGCCAGGGAGTTAAAGCAAGATGCCCAAGACTATAGCATGAATTATTTATGCTGTGCAATTTTTTGCTGGATTTCAAGGCCATCTCTCTGCAGATCTGCCACCTGAAGGAGCGGCGCAGGCTGCGTTGCTCTATCATGCACCCCGTGAACAGGAGGGGACGTGCTGGCTGGCTGCTCACACTCACCTCCGGCTCTGAAAGTATCTCAGCAAACTTCTGGTAAGTGAAGGTCCCCGTCTGCAGGATCAAGTCTCCTTCCTGGTCTGAGCTCTGACCACAGAAGATCAGTAGTTTGTGGGCTGATGAATCACACACCAGCGAGCGGACCTGTTACCATGAGACAGAGTGTTGCAGTCAAAAAAGTTACCTGTATTCCTCACCCAGAAACCCAATCACACGGACAGGCGCTGCTTACGCGCTATTCACAAACAGCCAAACCCTAAGTTTTCTACATACGAGAGAGCAGGTTACTGAAGAGGGAAGCCACTGCTACTGGCTGCCCGGCACAGCTCCACGTCACATCGTAATTCACACTGAGAAAGCAGGCCAATGCTAAGGGAAAATGTTTGGCGTTACACTGCCATGTAAGAGGTTGGCACATTTAGGTTCTCATCAAACTAGAATGCTCAAGGTTCAGAAGCCCTCTACCTTGTTTGCTAGGAACCTCTACAAGCTCCTGAGGAATCCTTAAAATTGAGCAATTCTAAGGCACTAACTCTTCCAGGACGCAGCTCATTCCTGAAGGGCCAGCACACAAGAAACCACACACTCTGGCGTGTTTCTTTGTCTAGCGGTAAGTTCTGCCATGGAATACGGGTTACTGCGTACGCCTTGTTGGCAAGAGCAGAACACCTGGCCACTTCACCACACCTTGCAGCAGACTGGCAGCATGTTCACACTCTCCAGAAGGTGCAAAGTGTGATGATCATGACCTCCACGTCAAGCAAGAGCAGGAGAGCTGATGTGGAGAAAACCCGCTGGCATCTGGTCCTTACCTCAGACACGATGCTGTCCACATTGGGATTTACCAGGATCACTGTCTCCAGGGTATCACTCCGGTGATGGAGGGTTCTTTGGCCTGGGGAGAGATGGGAGAAGCTGATGAGACAGTCCCTGCCTACCGATGTCTGAGCCTCAAAAATTCCACTTCAGCATGGGTTTGATTGCAAGGCTTCAACTTGCGTTCTAGACCCAATTTAACACCTGGGTCTCACAGAGCAAAGCAAACTCTTTTCAGTAACAAGGAAAAAAATCCTAGTTGTGGATCAGCACAATTTACAACTCAGCTCCAGCGTGCTCTGAAGTGGACAGTTCCAGGTGTATCAAGCTGCCTGCTTGTGCCAGAGCTGTGCCCCGTAAACGCTGGCACAGACCAGTTATCCCCTCCAGACAGAAGCATCTTGCCTCACTGCAGCTCCCATGGAGAGGTATCTCTGGCTGTCGCCCAGGCCTTAGCCACCGCAGGGCTTTGCGGGCCAGCTGGGGCGTGCCAACTCACCCTTCATTACAGCGGTGCAGCACTAATAACGGATCTCTCCTCATTCTTAATAAGTTTCTTCTTCTTACAAAGTGTTTTTCTTTAACCTAAACACGCACTCCTAGAGGTAAACTGCTGCTGTGGGAACCACCTAGGTGATAAGAATGCTTGCTCTCCTGTCTTCCTCCCGTGAGAGTCACAAACAGGCACCCAGATGGGACTCCGCTCTCCATATATTTCGGCAAAAAAGGAAGAGCCAAAGAAGAGCAAGCAAGAGCCTGGTAGTGCAAAAAAGCAGTTTGTGTGCTCACCTTGGCATCGGCATTACACAGATATTTGGCAAAATATTGACATAATGCCCGGGCCCTATTAATTTATTGGAAAGAACAGCGGTGAGTGCCTGCCCTGAAAGGCAGGGCTAGAGCCATCACCGTGTACCCACATCAAACAGCCCCGGGAAGCCGGACGATGTAGAGGACCTTCCTGCAGCACATCCCTTGACATTGCAGGCAGTACATAATTTTTTGGATTCTGGTCTTTGCAAATACCTACCTCTGGACATTACATCCACTCTACAAGCCAGGCACCTAGAACTTAACTGTTGCAATGTATAATTTATAGGGTTTAAATCTTTCATAGGCTTTAATCCTTCATATAGACTGAAGGGCCATAGATCTTCACTGAAAATGGACATCTATTTCTATTTTTCGTCTTCCAGACAACTGCTGCTCTCTGACAACGTTGTTCTTTCCACCCTCTCTATTCCACAGCCTCCCATCAGCTCTCTTTCTAGGCAGATCTCAATCCTTCTAAAATAGCTTGATTAGACTGGTATTTCAAAGAAAGTCACCAAAAGGACACAAAAAGAAAGAAGTCAGAGAAAGGCCACTACTCAGTATAGCTTTAATCAAACTCAGTTTACTGGGATGTTTTACTCTGGCTGCCAGCAATTAAGTATAAACCAGACAGATATGCCCAGAAGGCAACTTTCAACCCAAAATGAGAGCAGCTCTAAGCGCTCAGCAGAATTATTTATAGCATGTTTATCTCAGCATCTCTAGCTGCTTTCTGAACTTGTGTTCTTTCAGTTTGTCTAAAAATGGTCCCTCCAGACTGAAACAAAACCATCACTGTGCAAAGGAAATGCCTGCACTGATTTCAGTGGCATTTCTGCCACTTGATGTGGGATGTGGTGTATGGATGGGAGAGGCTGGGAACCAAGCCCCTGCACGAAGGAGGAACGCTGCAAGCGAGCCCGTGGGGAGCAGCGTGGGGAGGCGGCAGCTGGTGCAGAAGAGAAGTGTTCTGGGCCATGCACCGCAGCCAAAAGAAACAAAAACCCACGCATCGTCGAGGTACTGGTAATTGTAAAGACATTGCTGGTAGCTTGGCATTGCCTAGATCCCAGCAGCAAACACAAGGAGTACCTCGTTTCCTCGCCGACTGCGTCGTGCAGTTTTCCCACAGCTCACCCCACACCAGGACCTCCACTCACGCTGCCCAAAGCATCCAGAACAGAAGCGATCTGCTCCCATTTTTCAACAGTAGGTCCGGGACAAAGTGAAACCCATGCCATTCCCCAGGCTTCAACTTCTGCCACCTTGCTGCCTCTGCATCCCAGACAGACTTCTTTGGCAGTTGCTGCCCACGTCGCTTGGAGAACACAGCCTGGTGTACAGAACCAACACCAGCAGCCTCTCCCTTGTGCCATGTGAAGGGAGGGCTCTCAGGCACGGTGTAGTCACTGGTGCCCAGCACGTGGGCACCCTTCCAGGCACCAGGCGCCGAGGCACTGCAGAGGCAATGCCAGCCCGAGGGCTGCAGGCTGGGCTGCGCTTGGTGGACAACGCCAGCCGCACAGGGAAAGGGGCCCGTCTGCGGGACTAACAGGCATGAACACACTGCTGCTCTTTGCCATTTCTGTGGTTCGATCCCAAGCAGCTGAGCTGTCACAGCTGAGGCTGGTAAACAAAGCGAGGCTGGTTAGCATTCTGCTCGCACCCTCTCACCCCCGGAGGGGCTGGCCTCGTCATACTTGAAAGAAAGAGAAGGGTTCAAGCCGTGGGGCCAGCAGCTGCTGGCAGATGGAAGGTAGGAATGGTGACGTACCGGGTCTTGCGAAGGGCTGTGAAGATGATTAAGGGACTGAAGCATTTTCATAGGAGGCGAGGCTGAGCGCGCTAAGCCTGTTTAGGCTGGAAAAGAGAAGGCTCGGGCTGGGGGAGGGATCTTATCAATATGTATAAATACCTGATGGGAGGGAATGCAGAAGAGGACGTCAGACCCTCTTCTCAGTAGTGCCCAGTGACAGGACAAGAGCCAAGAGGCACAAATTAAGACAGATGCAATTCCATCTGAATACAAACCCCCACTTTTTTTACTGTAAAGGTGGTGAAACACTGGAACAGGTTGTACAAAGAGGTTGTGGAGTATCCATCCTCGGAGATACTCAAAACCCAACTGGACACAGTCCTGGGAAACCTGCTCTAGCTGACCCTTCTTCAGCAGGTGGGGTGGGACTAGATGATCTCAAAAGGTCCCTTCCAACCTACAATTCAGTGGTTCTGCGACTCTGTGAAGCAGTGCAGCCCTCCAGAGCTTCGCTCCTGACCTGCTGTTGGGCAGATTCCCTGCCTTCAGTTGCAGCAGTTGGTTCCCAGGATACAGGAGCACAGCCACGCAGACAGGCCATTTCCAGAAACACTGAATCACTGCGCACACACGTGCACACCAAAACCCAAAACTGTTCTTCAACTTAATTCAGAGATAAAGCAGACCAGCCCACAGACTCCAGG